TGGTGCTGGAGAAGACTCCTGCGAGTCCCCTGGACTGCAAGGCGATCCAACCGGTCAGTCCTAGAGGAGATCAACCCCGACTGCTCTTTAGAAGGCCAGATCCTGAAGTTGAAACTCAAGTACTTTGGCCACCTAATGAGAAGGAAGGACTCACTGGAGAAGAGCCTAATGCTGGGAAAGATGGAGGGCAATAGAAGAAAGGGACGACAGAGAAGGAGGTGGCTGGATGGAGTCACTGAAGCAGTGGGCGTGACCTTAAATGGACTCCAGAAGATGGTAGAGGACAGGAAGGCCTGGAGAAACGTTGTCCATGGGGTCACAAGGGGTCGGACACAACTTCGCAACTAACAAGAAATTAATTATTGATTGTTTAAATATATGAACTCAGACAACACGCTGTTTACTAAGCACTAAAGATTGTTATTATAAAAAAAATCAATAAAATATATTTTTTTTTAAAAAAAGTCGCAAAATGGGATCACGTGACCCTCAGGACGCTGCAACCATCACAAATATGAGCCTGTTGCCAAGTATCTAAATTTTGATCACGTGACTGGCGCCGCAATGCTTGTGTGAAAAACCGTCACAAGTCACTTTTTTCAGCGCTGTTGTAACTTCAAACAGTGACTAAAGGAAGGCTTTTCAACCAGTGGTACGGGTACCACCTGTGGTACATTGGCACCTGGCAGGCGGTACGCGACCATCCTAGAAAAGTGGTAGCAGGGGAGGGGAATGAGCTGAACCGGTGGCAGCACCGCACAAGCCTGAGCGAGAGACGGCTGGAGCTGCAGGGCTGTCAGGGCTCAGCGGAAGCGCCAGGATCAGCACCAAGCTCCAGCTGGAGCTCAGCGCTGATCCTGGCGCTTCTGCTGAGCCCAGAAGAAGCGCCGATCAGCTGGAACGTTGCAGCATTTCCAGGGTCTTGTGATTTACATTCAGATGCTTGGCAACTGATTCATATTTATGACGGTCACGGTGCCCCAGGGTCATGTGAAGTGACCAAAACCTGCTGCAACCACCCAGCAGACGGGAGGAAATAAAAACCAAACACCCCCCCACCCCACCCCCACTGCCAATCCTCAACAGAAATGCTCACAACAATGAAAACCTCGGACAGGAGGAAGAGCGTCGCCGGGTGGGCAGGCAGGTGTCTTGCTCGGCTGTGGCTTGGGGGGCACTTTTTTCAGTGCCATTGTAACTTCGAACAATCACTAAGCGAACTGTTGTAAGTCGAGGACTACCTGTACTTTGTCACTTTTTTCCTTTTTTGGGGGGGGGGTCATCATGTTTTTGACCCCTTGCTAGGCGACTGGTGGTACTCGGATATTGCCATATCCTAAAAGTGGTACAATGGGTGAAAAGGTTGAAAAGCCCTGGACTAAAGGACCCCGATATATTTACCCGGATGTGGCTTTCCTGAAGCGGATACCAACCTTCCAAATCGGCGTTGAAGCAGCTATCGGAGTGACGTCGTGCTCCTTGGTCGCCTCAGGAGAGCTGGTGAGGGAGAGAGAACTTGAGGAAGAATTTGTAGACGGCGTGTCCTCCTCTTCCGGACAAGACTCCATGGTTTCGTTTTCAGACGTCACGCTCCTTTCCAAAGCTGCAGCTTGAGGAGATCTGGTGGCCAAGATGTCCTCCAGAACCACGACCGGCATTTTCCGTTCAAATATGACATTCGGAGGTTTGTCCTCCTTGCAAACACTGGTTTCGTTCCCAGCGGACCCCGTACTTGGAAGTTCCTTATCTGTTACGTCTAAGCCAGTTTCTAAACAAGGATCTCCCTGGGTGTCACAAGAGGAATTTGGGGAACCAGCCTGGCCTCCTTTCTCCTTCGGGGTTTCCCCCAAAGATGCTACTCTGACGTTGGGCTTGGTGCCACCCGTGTTATCATTCGGTCTGTGAGGAGGGTCGTCCGTCAGGTCTATGAAGAGCCGAGACGGACTCGCCTCCTTTCTTTTACTTTTCTGCACAAAGTTATCCAGAGGGCCCTTGCCGTTAACCAGTTTTGCAACGTGGGATTCCGATTCTTCCTCACAACTGTTTTCCACATTGTCCGACAATGGGTGCGGTGAGGCGGGGTGGGGTGTGTTTTGAT